ACCATCAGGAAGCTGGTGAAACGAACTGGACTTTCTGGGACCAGAGTTGGATTAAAGCGATGGGAGTTCGTTCTCCTGCAACCAGGCAGAGATCAGGTTTCTCTTCTGTTTCTGAATTGTCTTAAAACTCGTATTTGTTGAATCGTTTTGCTCATCCTGACTGATGGTCTCTGTTTTAAGCATCTTGTCTATGTTTGTTATTATTCTGAGTTCTTTGTGAGTAAAAGCGGTTTGCCTGGCCGTCCTGCTGACCTCAGTCCAGGTCAGACTCTACATGTAAAATCCTCATCAAAACTGCAGCAGGAGTTTCTAATGAGGTTCATTCTGATGATTGTTGCAGCGTTCAGGATTTGTGCTGCTCTGTAAAACATTTCAGTGTTTTCTGTCAGCTCCAGCCTGGCCCACTGGCAGTGAACTGTGTGTGTGTGTGTTTAAGGTGTGGGCAGCGGGGTCGCGACCTGCTGTCAGGCAGCATCTGCTGTGATGACAGGCTCTGGTTCTGCCAGCTGCTGAAGCTCTGATCTGCTCAGTTTCTCCTGCGGATCAATGAAGCTTCACCTTCATGCTTTCTGCTGGCTGGACGTCTGCACACACTTTCTGGATGGATTAGCATCAGCAGCAGTGACAGGCAGGGTCAAGTCTGCTCTGACTCCACAGCGCCCCCCAGTGGAGAGGTTTCAGAATCAGTTTGAGCCAGTTTGTCTTCAGAACCTCTTTGTCAGGTCTGTAACTGATCTCCCGGACCCTCTGAAAGTCAGAGCAGCTCAGCAGGAAAACAAAGTTTTTACCTTGAAGAAGCAAAACGCTGAGAGTCGAGAACGAGCCGCAGACAACACATGAAGAAAGAGTCGAACTGAGTTATATAAACGAGTCCAGCTGGATCCTGGATCTGAAAGGAAGTGTTTAACCCCCTTACAGTCCGGTTGACCCGGTTCTACTGGAACCAGAACTCCATCCTCAGATTTAGTTGCTGCTCAGACTCTCTGCTCACGTAACAAACATTTTCTGCTTGCTTCTGGAAAAAAATGCACCTTCGCCTGGCAACCTCTCAGCCAATAGAATGATTGCAGCCACTGGATGCAGCAGCTGAACCTGTTTCTGAATGTCTGTTGATTTGGCTTAAAGCATCTTTTCTCTGATTAATAAGCGGCCGTGTCGCAGGAGGCGCCGCTGCTCTCCGCCTTCTCAGAGGTAAACAATTCTTTCAGGAGTATGGATCCGGCGACATGTCACATCTCAGCGGTTCACTTGTAAAAGCTCATTTCAATGACAAAATAAAAAGTTCAACGCCGACACAGTTTGCAGACACGCTGGGCTAATTAGACGTCGCTAAGCAGCCGAGTGAAAAAGCCACACAAAGACAGTAATTTATGACTTACTGACGGAGTGGAGGCGTTTCTGCTCCAGACAACATGCTAATGACACCGAGAGCGCAAACAGAGCTGACTGCAGGCACCGGCCGAACCCACGTTCAATCAGACCCGACCGGAACCAGCCTGGTTCTGACACATCAACATCTGGGAGAAACTGAGCAGAATCTGTGAAACAAACAAGAACAATTCATCAGAGAGAAACAGGGAAAAAACATGAAAGCCATACATCTCAGAGATTTAGCAGTTTGTCCTAAATGTCCTAGTTAAAGTCATGAAGAAACCACTACAGTTTCAGGAGTTTCAAAGCAACAAACTTTGTGTTTGCATTCAGCTGATTCATAGAGTAAATCGGATCCGTTCCCAGTGACTGAGGAAAACTGCTGACTGGGGAGTTTATTGGTTTCAGCCAATAAGATGAAAGGAACAGATCCGCCTGCGGTCCGGTCCGAATGACCAGAACCACACAAGAAGAAACAAGGATTCCCCAAGCCAGCGGTAAGAGAAACTGGATCGGTTCAGGAAACCAACAAGCTTCAGAAACAAACCACTGAAAACCCAGCAGGACTCTGAGTCTCACTTCCGGTTCTGATGGACTTTATCGTTTCTAGAACATGATGACAGCACAAAACCACCGACGGGTCTGGACCTGGGCGGGGCTGAGGGTTCTGACTGGCTGAAACACCCAAATCCAAATAATTATGCAGGGTTAGAGGTTACAGTTAGAGGTTAGAGGTTACAGTTAGAGGTTACAGTTAGAGGTTAGAGGTTACAGTTAGAGGTTACAGTTAGAGGTTACAGTTAGAGGTTACAGTTAGAGGTTACAGTTAGAGGTTAGAGTTTCCTCAGGTTTTCTCTGGTCATTTCCAGTTCGTTTACCTGGACGGACTGGACCCCATTAGTCTGAGACATCCTTTGTTTTCTGCTAATAATGAATAAATTGGGTCCAGAAAGTGAATTGAAAGTTCAGGTTTCCGGGTCCAGAGAACCACGTCTTCTGAATCTGTAAGGAGCCGAGAACGCCGGCGGGAGCTTTGCTCCTGGTTGTCCAGTCGTAAATACTGAATTATTAAACCTTTTACTGGATAATTTATTGCTTTGTGTGTGGCTTGTCGCCGCTGCCCTTCATCCGGATCCGTTTTATCCCGTGTCTGTAAATCTGTGCTCTCACTGGAAGCCGTCGCCGCGTCAGTCGTCGGGTAGACTGAGGAGACGGCAGGCAGTCAGTTCCCAGATCCTCTGTGGAAACTTCCAGCTGAAGGTTGCTTTGTCCCTCTGACTCGACTCCTCTGAACAGAACAAACATTTCAAAGAGAAATCTTCTCTCTCACGTCTGAAAGGAAACAAAAGGCAGGGAGGAGAACCAGCCTCTCAGGGGAGGCCCGGTTCCTCCGTCAGCCGCTTCAAAGTTCCCTTTCTTTCTCCAACGAGCACAAAGCTGGAGCCGGAGCAGCACTGAACACCTCAACGTTTATGATGGAGGAGGAAATGAAAAGCAAACGGAGCAAAAAGTATCTGGAAGCAGACGGAGAACTCCGCCCAACACAAAGCTGCAACTTATCAGAGTTTAGCAGAAACAGGTTTTACAGAGGAAACATTTCATGATGAAGAGTCTCTGGTTCCTCTGAAACTGGAGCAAATCTGGTCGGCTCAATCCATCAACGTTTATATCTGTTCATAGATTAAAACATCCACTTTGTTCCCCCAACAGGTCAGACACCTTTACCTGGTGAAAATGAATCTGCACTGAAATGTTTATTTATTCTCAATTGTACTGAACTGAGATGAAATCAAAGTGATTTATAAGAAATAAAAATTAAGAAAATATAAAAATATGAACTACTGGAGGCTTCAAAACAACCACAACTAAACTGAACTGATTCGATCCAAACTGAACATCAACATCATCAAATTGACTCAAATGTTTCAGCTCTTTGACTGGCCAGCTTTCTGATTGGCCAGCTCTCTGATTGGCCAGCTCTCTGATTGGCCAGCTCCCTGATTGGCCAGCTCCCCTGATTGGCCAGCTCCCTGATTGGCCAGCTCTCTGATTGGCCAGCTCCCTGATTGGCCAGCTCCCTGATTGGCCAGCTCTCTGATTGGCCAGCTCTCTGATTGGCCAGCTCCCTGATTGGCCAGCTCCCTGATTGGCCAGCTCTCTGATTGGCCAGCTCCCTGATTGGCCAGCTCTCTGATTGGCCAGCTCTCTGATTGGCCAGCTCCCTGATTGGCCAGCTCTCTGATTGGCCAGCTCTCTGATTGGCCAGCTCTCTGATTGGCCAGCTCTCTGATTGGCCAGCTCTCTGATTGGCCAGCTCTCTGACGTCCTGCAGGTCTTCCTCTCTGGTTTTGCTCCTGCTGCTCCAGTCTGAGTTGGATGTGAAGTTAACGATCCGTCCTCGGCTCTCTGGCAGGCGGTCAGCCTGAAGCGATGATGTCACACGATCTGCTGTCCAAACCTTCATCAGCCTCTTCATCACCACTAACAGGCTGCAGACAGAAAAAGATTCTCTGTCCTGATTTAGTCTTTCCTGCTGCATGTTGGACACATTCATATTGTTGTGCATTTGGATTTCTTCCTTCATTTTGGACGTTTCTGTTTTATCTCCAACGTGACTCATTTTATTCTTCTGGATCCTCATTTGATGGATGAACTTTATTCTTTCTTATTTAATCCGTTTTGAACTAAAAGTTTTGGCGTTTGGTTTGTTTATGAGTCAATAAAAACAGAAGCAGAATCAGCTTCTCCCGCCTGCTGAGCCGCCCTGAAAAGTTAAACTGGCGACAGACTGGAGTTTCCTCTGCAGCAGCTTCAGGTTGGCAGAAGCAGCGAAAATCTAGCTGTAGTTTCTGATGCAGGATCAGAATCTCCTCCTGATTCCCAACGGGAGGAGGAGGTGCTGAAGGAGCCGTTTCTGTTGCTGCTCCTTCACAGAGTTCAGTAAAACGCTACAGGGAGGCGAAGAGGAACGTCTCTGTCAGGGAAATATAAATGTTTCAGTGTGTTTGCATCTGCAGGCTCCTGTGAGCGTTTAACCTGCCAGACGTTCCAGGGATCTAAATGTTTCTGAGGGATCAGGACTTCCCCCGTTTTCTGCTTTCCTCCTGCAGAAACATGCAGATCCGACTCACTGCTGCGCTTATGATGTCATAAATCATTCATGTCAACAACACGACCTCAACAGCTTTGAAATAATGAAATATTTACAGCGCTGCTTCAGAAGTTCAGACATTTGAGTAAAATAATCAAATCTTGTTTAATTGATCTGAATCTGAAACAGAAGGATAATTCTCCAGGATTCTGAACTGAACGTCAGACGTCTGGAAAGGTCAGTGTGGCAGTCAGGGGTCGGTGTGACAGTCAGAGGTCGGTGTAGCGGTCAGAGGTCAGTCAGAGGTCAGTGTGGCGGTCAGAGGTCAGTCAGAGGTCAGTGTGGCGGTCAGAGGTCAGTCAGAGGTCAGTGTAGCGGTCAGCACTCTGAGCTCCAGTAATCGAATCGTTGGGCTCAGACAATCTGTTTAGACATCAGTCAGCTGAACAAGTTGATTTGAGGGGAGCTACCCTTTACAGAAATCTGTTTCCAGTCTTGCTAGTGTGCAGCTAACTGAGTTAGTAGTAAGACGTCGAGCAGAAGCTGTGAGGATGGTGTAAATATGACTGTAATAAAATCAGACCTGCTGTCAGCTGGAGAATCTCCAGCAGAACGGCGTGGAGCAGCGACTGGTCGTCCATTAAGCCATCGATTGTCTGCAGGGTCCGGCTGCATTGATGCTGTCTGCTGGACATCACAGCATCAATAACAACAATCTGTTGACACTGCCAGTCGATTCCTGCACATTATTAAACAGAAGCAGCAGCTGCACTGACTGCTGGCGGACTCTGCAGGCTTCCAGACGGACGGACAAACTTCAGGTCGCCGTTTGGCTGCCGATGATTCCACCCAGACCCGACGGATCTGGACCAAACGAACCGGGTCCAACCTGCAGAAACCACAGAAATAAAACCGGTTCAGATCTTCACTGACTGTCTCAGCTGCAAGTTTATTTTTTACAGTGTCGTTCTGAAAACACCAGCAACCAGGAAGTTGCAGTCAAGTTGAATTTTATAATAAATTATGTTACAGTTCTGTTTCCACCGATACGACTGTTTTACAGTTTTAACAGAATCATAAAAAAGCAAAAAGACCAAAATATATTCTGCAAATCATGGTGAGTTTGAGCTCCAAGCATCTGGGGAGAGATTTCTCCAGCCAGGACATTATTCAGACACGTTAAATGTAATCTGGCATGATGTTTTCACTCACTCAGTTCCTATTGTTTTTTGTTTTATTTATTTTGCCTTGCTCCAAGGAACATTTCCATAAAGAGTCAATAATAAAGTTAAACTGGTACATCTACAATTTTTATAGAAATTAACCGTAAACCTTTTAATGATCTGTGCTGTTGAAGTGATTCTTCCAAATGTTTCTCTGTGCGGTGAAATTCTGGGAAACAGTTAACAGTAATTTACTGTAAATTATACAAGTTTCTTTGTATAGCGTATATTAAGAAACATGTTGCCAACACATTTAAAAATTTAGGCCATGAGGTCCAACGTGTGGATTACAGCGGACCGGAGTCTGGTTGAAACGGACCGGAGTCAGGTTGAAACGGACCGGAGTCTGGTTGAAACGGACCGGAGTCTGGTTGAAACGGACCGGAGTCTGGTTGAAACGGACCAAAGTCGGGTTGAAACGGACCGGAGTCGGGTTGAAACGGACCGGATTCTGGTTGAAACGGACCGGAGTCTGGTTGAAACGGACCGGAGTCGGGTTGAAACGGACCGGAGTCGGGTTGAAACGGACCGGAGTCTGGTTGAAACGGACCGGAGTCTGGTTGAAACGGACCAAAGTCGGGTTGAAACGGACCGGAGTCGGGTTGAAACGGACCGGAGTCGGGTTGAAGTGGATTTCTGGCCTGGTTTTCCTCTGACACGTTTCTCAATGTCAGCTCATTCTGCTAGTTTTATTTGACTTCTGTCTCTGTTTAAAATAGTCGTATTAAATAATCATGTTATTTCTTCCTAGATCATTTGTTGTTTTTTTCTTGTCGGAAAAGGGAGCAGACCCAGATGAAGTTCTGGCTGTTTGCTGCTTTATTACCGTCGTTTCCCAAAGCGTGACTCGTGCAAATCAACGCCGACTCGTAATCTGGTTGCGTCTTCCTGCGGGCTGAGGTGATGAGTGGCGGCAGTAAAGACCAGTGAGTGGTGAAGCCGGCACTCTGTGGCGCAGAACCGGCTCTTTCAGTACATTATGACATGAACGCAGCCCATTGGAGTTAATTGAAGGGCTCTGGGCTGTGCATGAGGATGACAGCAATAGCTCATGATTTATTGTTTTCATTTGGGTAATTTTGCTTCATCATCTGCCCACAGCACCAGATTCATTTTAACACCAGAGCCTGAGTCACTGATGAACAAGAAGACAGAAAACTGAACCAGAGATGCAACAAAGTCCAGCCGGTCACATGAGTTCACTCCACAGCAGAGAGACATTCATCATCCAGCCTCCAGGCTGCAGCTCCAGGTTTTTCTGAACCTTAGAGAAGCTGCTGCTGACAGAGGAACATGAACCGAGTGCAGCGCTGAGGAGGGAGAACAGGACCAGAGGAAATGTTCAACTGTTTGTGACTGAATTTCCCCAATAACCAGAATCTGATCAGCAGATTCCTTCCATCTGGAGACAATAATAATACAATAACAATAAAATGCAAACGGTTCCCTTGACAAAGAGCTAACTATGAAACCGAAGGTCCATGTGTTCAGTCCTAATCTGACTCCAGTCCACTTTAAATCCAACTTCATTCTGCCTGCCTAGTCAAAGTCCGGTTCGGATGACCTCTGACCTCTGGTCCTCCAAACCTCGATCTGGTTCAGTTTGAATCTGAACGCCAAGTGGACCAGAGAGCGCTTTAAAAGCAGGAAGTGCACTACAACGCAGGGCATTCTGGGTAACCAGAGCTAAGATGCTAGCCTAGCGCTAGCAGCAGAAATGGCTCCTGGTCTTCAGCCAAACACTAAAGAGAAATCACTAAACTCTGACGCCTCCATCTTGTTTCATCTGGTGAAACAGGAAGTTGCTCTCAGTGTCTTCAAAGGTCACATGTGGGGTACCCCAAGGTTCAATCCTAGGACCCCTCTTATTCAATATTTATATTCTCCCACTAGCTCAGGTTATAACAGAAAATAATAATATTAGCTACCATAACTATGCAGATGATACTCAACTCTACATTATGATGTCACCAGGTGACCTTTGACCCCATCCAATCACTGAATAAATGCTTAGAACAGATAAATGTCTGGATGTGCCAAAACTTTCTCAGCTGAAGTCAACTAAAAACTAGCGATCAGCCTGAAACCTGGGAGTAGTGATGGACGGTTTAGCACCACAATACATCAAAGATCTGCTGTTGTTGTATCAACCTTCCAGACTCTCAGGTTCTGGTTCTGGTTCTGCTTTGCATCCCCAGAACCAGAACCAAGAACCAAGAGAGGAGAAGCAGCTTTCAGCATCTATGCACCAAAAATCTGGAACAAACTTCCAGAAAACTGTAAAACAGCAGAAACTCTGACTTCCTTTAAATCTCAACTAAAAACCAGCTGATTAGAGTTTGATTTGAAATGTAATATGTAACAATGTATTATTGATTCCATGATGCATGACTTTGTGTTTATGATGTAAAACACTTTGAGATGCCTTGCTGCTGAAATGGGCTATACAGATAACATTTGATTCATTGATTGATTCAGAGGTTTTAGTGTCGTTTCCTGCAGTGGTTGTTGGTGCAGCGCCCCCATAGGCCAGGAGGGGAACAGGTTGGTTTGGGTCAGAACCGCAGCAGCTGGAGGTTCTGTTCCAGGTGTTCTGGTTTCATTAGAACCGGGTCTAAGACTCATTTTTACTTTCCCTTCCTGCTTTCATTCTTCCTGTCGTGGTTCCTCTCGTTAGAACATAGATGGAGTTTCTTCTTCTGCGCCGCAGATCAGAGCGATCTCTTCATCTCTGCAGACCAGCAGCATTAAACTCTCAGCATCACCGACAGTAACTCAGAAAATGAAACCACGAGTGCAACCCTTCAGAGTGTTTACGGCTGAATCCTGTGCAGTTTGGCTAAAGGGATGAAAGACGATTTATTTATGTGTCGTCTCTCTGCTTTGGAGGAAAAGCCGTTTTCTCTTTAACTGGCTGCTGTGCCGTCGGGCCTCCAGTTTCTGACTCATCCTGTGAAAGTCATGAAATCTGGCAGCAGGCAGGTCGACCGACTGAGCCAGAGCGGCTAAATTTACTGCAGCAAACTGACGATTTCTCACAGTCACAAAGAAAACGACACATGGGTCCAAACCAGCAAAGCTTTCATTGGGCCGATCCAGCGGGTTTTACTGGTTCTGTAAGAACAAGGAGCTGGATGAGTTTCAGCTCTGAGGTTTTCCTGAAGCTCCGTTATGTTTTTGTTTGGCAGTAATGATGCTGCACCTCCATCTGTGGACAGCAGTTTGGTGTGCTCCTCATTAGCAGTCTGCTGAGGTCCGGCGGGTTGCAGCGGGTCCGTCTGAGGCGGCGAACAGATGGCGGCCGAGCCACCATCACGTTTCATATCCAAGCCCCAAGACGGGAGGCGCTGGGGAAATTCAGCTGAGACTAGAGAACAAATGAAACCAAACGAAGCAGCAGGAGGTCAGCACTGTAAAAACTCAACATCACCAGCTAGATTTAGTTGGTGGTAAAGACGCAGCGATCCGCAGGACTGACTTTACATGGAGTCATAAATGTAGTGAACTATTAATTCACCTGCTTGCTGCACCAGAACAGATTCACCACATCAACAAAATAACTGATTTATTCAGAGCAGGTTGAGTAAAACCTGAAACTACAGGATGAGTCAAACATTTCAAACAAACTAAAACTGGTTCAGAGACTTTCATTCATTCATCTGAAATAAATAATCTAACATGATTAACTAAGACTTATAATTATTTATTATTAGAAGATGTTGCTCCACTGCAGATTCTTTCCATTCGTTTTAAATTCCTGTCTGTTTTAACTGAGTTTAATCTTTTTTCCAGTTCATCACTTCACCTGCAGATCTGCTTCCTTTGGGTCTGAGCAGAACCAGAACCAAACTCTAAACTCGAAGGAGTCAGGATGAAGAACAATAAAATCAGTTTTTAGTTTTCATGTTTTCATCTTATTTTCTGAACTTCTGGCTTTGCTTGTGTGTATTTTTTGTTCTGTGTTTTGTTGGTTCCCACAATAAAAATGAATAATAATGTTTCAGCCTGCGTGTGTTCGGCTGCATCGGGTCGGTTCTGGCCGGGTCGGTTGGTGTTTCTGGGCTTCAGCCTGGCGCCGATTACTAACATTCAGCCTTTTCATTACACATCATACGCAGTAATAAATCACAACCTGAGAGGTTCTGATGGTTAATCACCATGGTGCCCAGACAAAATGTTCTGGTTCTGCTCAGGATTCACTTTAAAGGGCTCCTGGTTCTGAAAGTTCTGGTGGTGATTAACAGAATTAAAGTGACAAAACATTCATCTTTGTTTTGTCAGGTTGAAAATAAAACTTTTTATCATTAAAGATTCTTTTCATTAAACCCACATTTATGTATTAAATGTATTTTCTTGATCTGTTGTAATATTCAGCAGTTAAATGTGCTGTAAATTCTAAAAATCAGAAAAGAAATTTTGAAAACTTTGAAAAGTCTGTGTTCAGCTGAGCAGCTTCATGTTTCACCTAAAGCTGCAGTAACTTTCAGAAAAATAGAGTAAACCTGAGTAAATACCAGCAGGGTGTGAAGACTTTCTGAGTTTGTTTGGGAGCAGAGACGGTTCTGGACAGCAGCTGCAGGAGGCAGAGAACCTGGCAGTTTCCAGAAAACTGAGAAACTGCAGAAACACTGAGTTCCTCTCAACCTCCTGCTGGAGCTGCGATGGA